TGGAAATATTTTTTTAGGAAAAAAAGATATTTAAAGAATTATCATATTAATATAGTATATATAGCATATGGAAAAGTTTAATGAGTTGCCGTTAGAAGTGAGGTTAAATATTATGTCCTTTAATAGTCAAGATTTTAACAACGACAAATATAACAAAATATTAAATCACCCCTTTCCATCATTTGAAACAGTTATGGATAATATGTTTATTAAACCGTCTATGTATTTTGATAATACATTTGATAAATCAGATTATGAAATATATATGATATGTAAAACCATTTACAGCTATTCATATATTAATATGGTAATACTGAATTTTAAACAGAATATTTATAACGAATACAAGACAAAAGGGTTTAACGATGAAGACATAGAATGTACTGAATTCGGTTATTGTCGCGTTATTAAGAAGTTTCTAGAATTGATACAGTTAAAAAATTGTTGGTCAGCATCATTCATCAGGTCAATGATTGGAACTATACAAGATAATTTTATTCACGATAATACAACTACTAATATTGATACAAGGGATTATCTTGAATTTGGTCATTACTCGGGGGAATTTTAGAAACCATAATTATAATAAAATTATATTTCATATGAGGTTATGGAGTATGATTATATTATAGTTAAATTCTATGGGAGAGACCTTGCCCATTTTCGGAGGTTAAAGATTGGGGTTAGGGTTGGGTCTTAAGGTGGTTTTTAGAAGAGTGTAGGGGTTGGAGTTAAGGATTGGGTCTTTCGGTGGGGTTTTTGGAAGGGTTCAAAGGTTGAGGCGTTGAGGGGGTGAGGGTTGAGAGGGCGAGAGTTTGAGAGAAGGTTTTTTTTGGATAAGGGTAGGTGGAGGAGAAAAAAAAGGTTGGGGGGTTTGGATTGGTATGTAGTTCTTAAAAGGGGTTAAAACCATAGGGTGGGGTCTATGTTTTTTTCACGGTTGAAAATGGGCAAGGTCATCGCTAACTCATTCATCCTTTGGCCGATGAGGCTGAACTTGTTGTCCAAACCAAAGACATCGGCGCGGGCATATCGCGAGTGCTTACGCTGGGCACCAAGCATTACCGCCATGATCCTCCACACCGTCATCCCCAAACTCTAAACCCCCAAACCCCTGAAATCTGCATCATTCATGATCCTCCACACCATCATCCCCAAACTCTGAACCCCCAAATCCCTAAAATCAGCATCATTGTCATCCTCGGCCTCGTCGTCAGAGCCGCCATCGTTATCACCATGATCATCTTGATGATCCTGACGATGATGATGACCATCATCAACAGCACCATCGTCATCATCATCATCATCATCATCACCATCACCATCATCTCCACCATCCTCACCATCACCCCCACCGTTAAAGGCTCCGCATGCAGACGAAGGATGTTCAGGCTTCTGGGCTTCTCCCACCCGTCTCTTTCTTGAAAGGGGGAGGACAATGACCAATGATCTTGTCTTGAAGATTCTCAGGATTGCAAGTATGGTGACAGTTCATACGATGACCAGTATGAGTCTTTTCAGATACTTAATGGTTGATGCATGTCTGCACCTATGAGTGTGTGGACCCTCGGCCCGACAAAATGAGGTCTTGACCCAGACTCGGCAGCGGCACATCAGAACCTGGCGCAGGCAACGAGTTATGGGTTCGGGTTTAGCGTTTAGAGTTCAGAGTTTAGGGGTTTAGGGTTCAAGGGTTTAGGGTGTAACGGTTCAGGGTTCGGGTTGTTGTGGCTTCAGTGTCGAACTGCCGTCCACGTATCTTGTTACAAGCGGGAGTTAGTGCGTGAACCCAACATAACCCACCTTGTTGTAGGTTGTAGTTATTGCAATGAAAGTAAGTACAGAATCTATAGCAGGTTATGGTGGGTCATGGTACGGGCAGCAAAGCAAAACCGCGCCTGAAATTTCCTAGACTCTTAATCCTGCACGGCTTCAGGATTTCAGGGTTGTCAGGTTGACGGCTTTCGGCTTTTCAGGGCTTGAGGGTGTGAGGGTCAGCTTAGAGGGAGAGGGTGCTTCGTAAGAATGCTATAGATGACAAAGTTATAACTAATACTGCCGCAATCAGTCCTGACCTGGCAGAAAGTACAAAAAGCCCAGAGCAACTTTCGGGTTAAGTAAACCAGAACCCTAAACCATAAGCCCTAAACCCTAAAGCCTAGCAAGCTCGGACGTCGTGAAGCCATGCCTGCCTTGCGCGAGAGTGTGAGTCCAAACCCTAGTAGTCCTAAACCGAAATCCGAAACCATAAGTCCTCAGCGAAAGCAGGTTTACGATGACCTCGGCAATCGGACTGCTGCCCGGCTCCCCAGTGTGAGCCGAGTACAAACAAATCATAGAATCCGTATAAGGCCCGTCCAGCAACCCTCATAATGGCCCGTATGAGTTATGGCACGCTTATTGCCAAATTACTGTACCCTATAAAAATCCCAGCGCTTGCTGATGACTGCCGCTGCTACGTTTCTTCTTTCTGCTATGTGTTTATTGCTTCTGCTCATGGTCTCACACCTTTCCGGAGCACTATCATTAGGGTTTAGGGTTGAGGGTGAGTCTGGTTGGCAGTCCCATGTCAGACCTAAACCCTCGTATTCCTCCTGAGGCACACGAGCACTACAAGCAGTGGGCATACCTGGAGCCGCGCGAGGCTTTGTAGATGCTTGATCATGACTGCAGCAACTGCCATAATAATACGATAATACCTTTTTTTTTACCAATAATATACTTCTAGAGCAAGTACCATGAGAGCCTTGCATATCCTCTTGCTGCAACTATGGTGCTTTCTCATGGAGATTTGCTTACTGACTGGTTTCTGCTCTTCTTTTCCCGTAACCCCAAAAAAACCCTACACCCTAAACCCTAATTACACTTATGTAGGAAGCATCGCGGACATGAAGCTGGTTCTGACTGTCTGGGCAGGGTCCCGTTTCGGATCCCAGAAAGAGTTCCGTCACTCTTTTCACGGAGGCCTGCGTAGGGCGACTTAGTTTAGAGAAGGCTTCAAAATGTACTTTGTGCTCAGTCTTGGCCATCTGATCCTCGTTCTTTTCCTTCATGCACCTTACTCCACTTTTTCTTGTGACTCCTACCTCTTCTGTTTTCGGCCTGGCACGTGTTTTTGTCTTGCATCACGGACGACTCTGAGGTCAGCCAATGCGAAGAAAGGCCTGGCTTTGTCGTACCTCTGGGCCGGGGGGCTCGTCGATGCAGCTTGCTTAGGGTTTAGGGTCCGGCATACACCCAAAGCACTTGCTAAAAAGGTAGGGTTTAGGTTCGGGTAGTCTTCGACGTTGGGAGAAAGATGCGGGAAGCTTTTGGTGTGCGGACTTGAAGAAGGAGAAGAAGATCTGGTACAGTTTGCAGAAGTCAACGACACACCCTTACACCCTTCAGCAAACTCAATCGTACGTCAACCCTAGACTCTTTGGAAATCTTCAGCACGCCAACTTTCTCGACTCATCAGCACTCGCACTGGGAGAGCAACCGGGCATGGGCTTGAGGAACATGCGGATCACCTCCAAGAGGGCAGCCGCCTCTGCGACGAGGTGCCAGTTCGACTGGGCTACTCTCGTCTAGCTTTCGCCTTGTTACTCAAAAAGTAGATCCCCTAATTTGGGACCCTACCTACTACAGGGTACTTTATAGGAACCCCCTTAAGGGATCTACTTTTTGGATCCTCCCGAAATTTCTGGGAACCTTTCGTCAACTGGTGATCTTGCATATTTCCAAGCTTGCAACCGTGATGATCAGCAGCTTCTTGAGATAAGACATGCAGAGCCCAAGACCCCAAAGCCTGAACCCCAAAGCTTCGATCAATGCGGGCTCGTCCTTGCTAAGTAGGAGGCAAAAAAAGCTTCCATCGGGGGGTATTCTTAGCTAGTTGCCGTCGGCTTGAGAGAGACTTGCCGGGTCCAAATCCTGAAAAAACCCTAAACCCTAAACCCTACACCTTAAACCCTAAACCCTAAACCCTAAACCCTAAACCCTAAACCCTAAACCCTAAACCCTAAACCCAAATCCTGAAAAAAACCCAAGACCCCAAGCTTTCCGAAGCCGTTCCTTTTCCCGTCACCACTTTGTGGGCGCCATGACGTTGTCACTCACCCGACCTAAGACGATAGGCCTCGGGCCTCCTGTGGAGTGTCCGAGTGGGTTTAGGGTTTAGGGACCCCTAAGCCCTAAACCCTGAACCCTAGAAAAAGACACCATGAATGAGGCTGCCCAGCTGGATCCCAGAGATCCCTCGATACCTTTCGACTGCGCCGGAGCCCGAGCACCTCATGGATGGAGTGCTTCTCCAGAGCCTGAGCCCTGGGTTAGCTTGCGTTCTAATCCGTGTAGGGTTGAGGGTTTAGGGTAGATGATTCAAGAGGTACTGCGCAACACACACCAGACGGGGCACTTGTCTTGGGCCCGGTGGGACTTTCTCTGAGCCTGAACTCATGCAATGGCTACGGCTACGGCTCAAGCATCAGAAGGCTCCCACAGCAAACTCCCTAGCACTCCGCTGTCTCCAATCATGGCTCCTCGCGCTGTCCTCGCCCTCTTGGCTACCGCAGCGGGTGCTATGAAATGCCCCGGCTCCGGCAGCTGGATCCATGCTTCTGCAGAGGTGGAAGCCGTCGCGGATGCCAGCTGCGCCGATGTGATGGAGGAAATGAAGGCTCGAGTGCAGGGCCCTTGGGTCGATCCTCATAACAAGGGCACCTACAGCCTCCTTTCCGAGAGCAAGGACGAGCTGGACATTCAACGCATCACCGGCAACAAGAAGTTCACGGACAAGATCACCTTCACCTTCTCCGACTTCGATGCGAAGGGTGCAAAGCCAAGCTGCGGCATCCACGCCTGCTCGGAGTCCCAGGGCTTCTCCATCGGAGATTTCTCCACCAACTACTGCAACATCAGGAACCTCTACTGCGGGAAGACGGATGGATGCGTGCCGGTCAAGCACGACTTTGAAAATACTGAGCAGAAGGTGGACCCCTCCTTCGGTGCTGGTAAGGACAAGAAGGCCTGCATCGTGAAGCCGGAGCAGTTCCTGGTGTGAGTTCAGCCTCCGGGTTGTCCACTGGTCAAGCCTGGCTACACACTGGGGGGTTGCCGCCGAAATCATTTCTCTAAACACGAAGCTTTAGACCCTTTCCAGAAAGCATGCTTACTCAGCCTTCAACCCCGACCTTTCAAACTTTGCTTTGGTGCAAGAGCCCCTTGCGCAGACTTGACGGCCGATGAAGGTCGCTGTCAGACCCGCGCAGGCAAGAAGAAGGACAAGAAAGGAGACTTCTCTGACCCGGCCTCCTAGAACCCTAAACCCTAAACCCTTATAGTACCATTATAGACCGCTTACAGTAACCCTTCAAAGGAAACCTAGCCGTCGGAAGGTTCTGGGTTTACGGTCGACCCCAGTCAAGATGGTAGCAGGTCGTGGTCTGGCTTGACTCTAGACTTGAGTCCAGTAGAGCACAGGGATTTCCGGAAAAACCCTGAACCCTAACCCTAAACCTATACCTGAGTTGGCCTTTTGATACTTAAAACAAAGCCCTAAACCTTGAACCTTGTCCGTTCTTTTCTGCTCGGAGGCCCAGCTGCTGGTATTGCTGCTCCCGCCGGGGCATGAGGACTCCAGAGACCCAGGGCCGAGACTCTAGTTTTCAGTTCTTGATAGTTTAGGGTTTAGGGTTGGGCGCTTTTAGTAATCAATTTTTTTTGATGTTAAACTAAACCCAAAAGCACTTAAATTAAACCCAAAGTCATTTAGAGAATTGGCTTAGTATTGGGATTATGGGAATTTAGGCTGCGGAGCCTTGGGGTGCTTCGGTCTTACCGTGGTATGGATCTACATGAAGGGAAGGTGTGAGGAAGGGATGCTGAAACTTAAAGCAACCCGTATATGGGACTTTCGGATAGCACGGGGCCCCAAGACCCAGTGTGAAGGAGTTCGGAAAGTGTAGGCCTGTCGGGTTGAAGACTCGACTCATAGCGTTTGCACACTGTTTATGCTAGCCAGGTAATGTAGGGGCCTAAATAATCAACTATACTCTGTTTGGGGCGTTCTTGATATTATAAATATAGTATGTATAATGGGCCCCAAAACCCTATTCTGATTATTAAGGCCCCTACTTTATCCTAAAGAAGCTCTCGATGGCCTTTGACTAAAGGGCCGACAGAGCAAAACAAAGTAAGGAGCCGCACCTCAGCCTCAAAAGGTCTCTTTGTCTGGCGAGACACCCGAAACCCTAATGCAGTTGTCAAAATTAGGGTCTCTTTTGGGATACCCTAAATAAGAGGTGCCGTATTATAACAAGGATCCAAAAAGGGACCATAATTTGGACAACCACCCAAATATAACAGCCTACGTAATTACCTGTATTATTCCTTAGGGTTCCTTATTAGGAGTTGTAGTATAACGGGCCCCAATACGTTATTCTAATTTTTAAGGCCCCTACATGAAGCCTAAACCGGCAAAGGGTTGAGGGTTTATAGGGTTTGACCGACAAAGAGGGACTAGATGCTTAGTAGTGCCCTGCAGCTGCTGGCAGGCGGTTGACGAGGTTGTTTCAGAGTCATGTGGCCTTGGACTGGGCCTCAGCGATTCCCTAAACCCCCAAAACCTACGTCCTGACCCATGTGCACTTCACCACCCTGTCAAGATTTTAGCTCTGCCCCACAGACATTGACATAGTCATGCAATGCAAGACGAGGGACAACTTTGAGCCCTTTGCAGCATTTTGGGTTTTGTTTTGGGGGGGCGGGGAGTTCTGCAGCATCTTGTCTATCGCCTTCCAGCTCGCACTTATATAGTTAGCCTACTTATAACCCTACATATAACTACCCATGAACCTCCAAATATGACCCCTTGTAGACCTCTTATAGGGATTGACAAAGTATCTTGCTGCTGCTGTTGCGGTTGCTGTCCTGTCAGTCAAGCCTCAACCGGAAAAAGGGCCCTAAACCCTAAGCCCTAAACCCTAAATCCTCAACCCTAAACCCTAAGCCCTAAGCCCTAAACCCTAAACCCTAAACTCTAAGCATCCTGGGAGACCGTGCCACCTCATCCCTAAACCCTAGACGACATTACCCTGCAATGCGGGCTCGTCCTTGCTAAGTAGGAGGCAAAAAAAACCCTAAACTGACACCCCAACTTTCAAGTCCGAGCTGCAAAGGTTGTAAAACCCTTCTGCTTACTTGTCGCTTAGGGTTTAGGGATCAGGGTGCCTTTATAGGCACCAACCCCTAAACCCTAAAACCCGCAACCCTAAACTCCAGCTCAGCTGAGGGCCAGAGGGGGTGTGCGGAGACTCCTCGAGCTCGCATTGGCCGCTGGCTCGGAGTTCTTTGGATCCATGTCGGGGGTTCGCCTCAGGGTTGACAAGATGGAGTTTCCGAGAATAAGGGGTGCCTTATTCTGGCGTCCAAATAATAAGGATCCTACTATTTGGGGTACGATATTAAGGGTCCCCTATTTTCGGCAACCCCCCCGACAAAAACTTGATTGAACCATGGGCATGAGTGGCTCGCGCATGCCGTCCTCGAAGAGATAACGTCATCCTCTGGTCTCCTGTCAGGTATTATTCCTTTAGGGCTTGATATTGCGATAATGCTACCAGATGCTAGTGACTTCGGTGGACAGTGTGCTGGGTTGCATGAAAATCTGGGCCTTCCGCGTGCCCAAATCTCTTGCAGATCGGGACCCGGTAAGAACGGACCGGTTTTGGGCTCGCTGCATAAATGGCTCTTAGCCATCAACGCCTTGAAACACAAGCCCATACCCTTGACAAACCAAGCGCCTAGACAAGAATCCCTACATCACAGGGCAGTGCCGAAGTCACAAAGTATTCATGAAATCAGCACAGACACGGGGAGGAAGTTAAAACATGTTAAGGCCGTATGTAGAGGCGCTCCCAGGCTTGGCAAAACTTGAGCCGTACCAAGTTCAAGAACATGTACTGTAGGGGCCTTAATATTTACCTATACTATTTTGGCGGTTCCTTGTTATAGTTGTTGTAGGTCTCTACATTATGTGGACCCCTTTCAGTTGTGCGCAAGGCGCGGTTTTATGTTACTTGTATGACTTCTTGTGAACACCTACCATGGTGAATCTACTTTGCAGACTGCTCCACTGTACCCGTGGTTGTACACATGGTGGGAAACTGTTTTGTTGTGACTCCGTTTTCGAGGATTCCGGTGCTTTCCCTGCGCACGAGCACCCTGCTCCAGGTCATTCCCTCAATTTTTTCACTCCACCCTGACACGTCTCGCCTGGATCCGAGATGAGAGTCCAAGCACCCAAACGAAGTCAACAACCAAAACCTCCAAATGCATGTGAGTTACAGCCCTGAAAGACCTAAACTCCTAACCTAAGCCCCAACTACGTCCAAGAGGCCGAGCAGACCAGCAGCAAGCACCTAACGCAACAACATGAGCCCCGGCGAGGATGACGCATATCGAGCCGAAGTTCCGACGAGCCCAGGCGGGGGCCCAGGGCTTTAGCGTTTGGCAAGGCAATGCAGGAGGCAAGTGCTACCCCGACAGTTTCGGAGCCCATCAAAAGTCCTCTGAGGAGGCAGCCTTCGCAACCTGGTGGCCGCCTCAGCAGATCCTAGAATCCCGGCGCCACATTGGTTGGTTTGGGGGTCGGTGTGTAAGCGTCGACAGCTGGATTAAGTCTCGGAAGCGTGGCGATGCATGTATCTGTATCTCCATATCGCCACTGACATGTCGACAGGCATTGCATGAAGCACATGTCAATGGCTCTCGAGAGTGCAAGATGTCCAGCCCGGTGAATGGAGGATCAAGTTCCATAGTTACCATAGGCCGGCAAGAACCCGTGTGGTTTGTTCCCTCGCACAGGGCTTACACAATTAAAGCACGGCGCGTTGGCAAAATGCTGCCTTCTGTCATCGCTGTCAGGAGGCCTTTGGCAAGTAGGCTGCTCTGTCAAAGCAGGCTGGGGCTAAATCTTCAAGATGTGAGGTGGGGAGGCCTTGCTGGAGCTGGGCAGCGGAGAGACAAGATCGTCGGCCGGGTGGAGCCGCGACAGCTGGAGAGAAAGTCCAACCATGTCCAACCAGACGTACACTTCTTGGTGGATGCAGACTCGCACAGCATTGACATGATTCGGTGGGCTATTGGCAGTTTGCAGCAGGAAGGGTTCAGAGAAGTCCGGACAAAAGTTTACGCTCCCCCGCAGTGGGCAAAGAATGCCAAATGGAAGCAGCTATTCGATGAGCAGGGGGTCCAATTTCATGCCGTCCCGCGTGGAACTGACGTCAAGGGAGAAGCAAACGACAGGGCCATAGCGACAGAAATGCAAACTTTGTCAGGGAAGCTGTCAGCTAATGCTGGCGGATGCATTGCACTTATGGCTGGAGATGCCGATTTCATCAGCGCCGTCATCATGGCTGTGCATCAGAGCGTCCGTGTGGTGGTGTTGATTTCGGGTTTTGCTTTGTCGCAAATCAGGCTTTTCAGATCAGCCGGCGCACAAGTAGTAACGATGAGTATTCAGCCAGAGAACGCCCCTCGGGTAAGAGAAGTGCTTCACTTGGGTGGTTGTGGGGAGGTGCAAATTGCAGAGCCGTATGTGTATGCCCCAGGTGAGGAAGAGGAAATGATGGCAGTTGCGACTTTTCTCCAGAGATTGCAATATTTCGAGCCGGACGAGTATCTCATTCAGTCCATCGCCAAGTTTTGGTTCACAAACCGGCTGGGATCGCTGATTGTCTTTCCAAGCGACACAGCCAACAGAGCGGCGCTAGCAAGAGCTACCGACGGCAACAGATCTTCGTACGTGAAGTATATCACGAAGCTTGCTTTTCAATTCTCCTTCGGTATCAGGTCTGCCCAACACTGGAGCTACGAAAGGGCTGCTTCATAAGTATGGAATTCGGCGTGCACAGGCTGTGTTTCAAGGCGGTGGGTCTTTCGTCGACACCAGGCCTCTTGAGCCTGCTACAACGACGTTGTAGCAGGCTCAAGAGGCCTGG